ATTTTGACCTTATCATCCCTGTCATACCGACTCTTAAAACTGTGTATGGCGTTTAACTTTATAATTTTCAGTCACTTCAGTCGAACTATCTAAAACCTGAAAAAATAGTTCCTAATGTCACTATTCACATACGCGTTTTCTTTTGTATCTTCAGTCCTCTTTTTCACACAGTTAAATTTACAAACTAGAAATTGCTATCCCTTTTCAACTCATTCCAAAGAATATCTCTAAGATATGCTTCCCCTCCCCGGGATGACACCCACAACAGTTGGTTAATACCCAGGGGCAACAGATGTAATTTTTTTATTCACGTTCAGCGCTAAACCCATGTGGGTCATTCAGCGTAAGACGTAGTGGAGACTTGATCCTCCGTCTGCTGAGCGTCAGACAGAGGATTTCAAAACAATTATAAAGAAACGTGACTGGCGTCTCCACCTCCCCAGGATCGAACCCTGGTCCTTCGGGTGTGAGTTGAAGGTGCTAACATTGATCCAGCTCATCCCAGGTGCCTGCTGGTGGTCCCGTCTCTAGCAGCTTGCTGGAGATCTTGACTCTGGGATCACAATGTGTCTGCTCAGTATCCAAGGTGATGTCTTGTCAGGTCCCACCACCGTTGTCTGCAGTAATAGTTATATTTACCACAGTTGCCGTGACAGCTTCAGCAGTCAGTTGCCGTGTCAGCTGTAGCAGACAGTTGCCGTGTCAACTCCAGCAGACAGTTGCCGTGTCAACTGCAGCAGACAGCTGCCGTGTCAACTCCAGCAGACAGTTGCCGTGTCAACTGCAGCAGACAGTTGCCGTGTCAACTGCAGCAGACAGCTGCCGTGTCAACTCCAGCAGACAGTTGCCGTGTCAACTGCAGCAGACAGTTGCCGTGTCAACTCCAGCAGACAGTTGCCGTGTCAACTGCAGCAGACAACTGCCGTGTCAACTGCAGCAGACAGCTGCCGTGTCAACTGTAGCAGACAACTGCTGCTATAAGTACAGCAGCTGTTTGCCTAATGATTTTTCATCTCCCCCCCCAAAAAAAAAATAAAATTAAGCCCCTCCTCCCCCTCCCGGGATCAAACCTGGCTGAGCCTCCCATTCCCCAGGTTCAGTATGATAATCCCCGTACAGGTTTAGCGCTTGCCATACAGTGATCTGACCTGAGGCGCAGTTGAAAGCCACGTGATTGATCACAGAAGATGTGACGTAGGCGTTGATAGCTCCGTCTGTCTGTGGCACCTCGGCTGTCAGCACACGTAGGCGATCCTCAGGTCTAGTGGGGAGTAAAGGGAAAGGGGTGAAATTGGGTGATTTGGGCAAGGGAAATGGGAAGAATTTAGGGGGAGGGAAGTACTACACGAAGCAGCACTCATTTCGTAACATCACTCATCATTCGTAACATCACTCATCATTCGTAACATCACTCATCATTCGTAACATCACTCATCATTCGTAACATCACTCATCATTCGTAACATCACTCATCATTCGTAACATCACTCATCATTCGTAACATCACTCATCATTCACATCATCACTCATCATTCGCAACATCACTCATCATTCGCAACATCACTCATCATTCGTAACATCACTCATCATTCGTAACATCACTCATCATTCGCAACATCACTCATCATTCGCAACATCACTCATCATTCGTAACATCACTCATCATTCGTAACATCACTCATCATTCGTAACATCACTCATCATTCGTAACATCACTCATCATTCGTAACATCACTCATCATTCGCAACATCACTCATCATTCACATCATCACTCATCATTCGTAACATCACTCATCATTCACATCACTCATCATTCGTAACATCACTCATCATTCGTAACATCACTCATCATTCGTAACATCACTCATCATTCACATCATCACTCATCATTCGTAACATCACTCATCATTCGTAACATCACTCATCATTCGCAACATCACTCATCATTCGTAACATCACTCATCATTCGTAACATCACTCATCATTCACATCATCACTCATCATTCACATCATCACTCATCATTCATAACATCACTCATCATTCGTAACATCACTCATCATTCGTAACATCACTCATCATTCGTAACATCACTCATCATTCGCAACATCACTCATCATTCGTAACATCACTCATCATTCGTAACATCACTCATCATTCGTAACATCACTCATCATTCGTAACATCACTCATCATTCACATCATCACTCATCATTCGCAACATCACTCATCATTCGTAACATCACTCATCATTCACATCATCACTCATCATTCACATCATCACTCATCATTCACATCATCACTCATCATTCGCAACATCACTCATCATTCGCAACATCACTCATCATTCGCAACATCACTCATCATTCGCAACATCACTCATCATTCGCAACATCACTCATCATTCGTAACATCACTCATCATTCGTAACATCACTCATCATTCGTAACATCACTCATCATTCACATCATCACTCATCATTCGTAACATCACTCATCATTCGTAACATCACTCATCATTCGTAACATCACTCATCATTCACATCATCACTCATCATTCGCAACATCACTCATCATTCACATCATCACTCATCATTCGTAACATCACTCATCATTCACATCATCACTCATCATTCGTAACATCACTCATCATTCACATCATCACTCATCGTTCGTAACATCACTCATCATTCGCAACATCACCTGAACATCACTCATCATTCGCAACATCACCTGAACATCACTCATCATTCGTAACATCACTCATCATTCGTAACATCACTCATCATTCACATCATCACTCATCATTCGTAACATCACTCATCATTCGCAACATCACTCATCATTCGCAACATCACTCATCATTCGTAACATCACTCATCATTCACATCATCACTCATCATTCGTAACATCACTCATCATTCGTAACATCACTCATCATTCGTAACATCACTCATCATTCACATCATCACTCATCATTCGTAACATCACTCATCATTCGTAACATCACTCATCATTCGTAACATCACTCATCATTCACATCATCACTCATCATTCGTAACATCACTCATCATTCACATCACTCATCATTCGTAACATCACTCATCATTCGTAACATCACTCATCATTCGTAACATCACTCATCATTCGTAACATCACTCATCATTCGTAACATCACTCATCATTCGTAACATCACTCATCATTCGTAACATCACTCATCATTCGTAACATCACTCATCATTCGCAACATCACTCATCATTCGTAACATCACTCATCATTCGTAACATCACTCATCATTCGCAACATCACCTGAGTGGCAATAAATGGTGACGAAAACAAGTTTGCCGATGACACCAAAATAGATTGGCAGAGCAGTAGAGCAATAGATAAGTGCAACAAACTCCCAAGTAGCATCAGTGAAGCGAGAACCTTGGCTAACTTTAAAGATAAACTGGATTAAACATGTGTGAGTTGGATTTGCCTAACATGGGCCAGTAGGCCTCCTGCAGTATTCCTTCAATCTTGTAACCTTTGTAGCATCACCCATTATCTGCTCACCCATCGTCTGTAGCATCACCCGTCTGTAGCATCACCCATCATCTGTAGCATCATCCATATATATTCCACCCAACGCCACACACTTGTATTCACCAACCTGTAGATAAGAAGCCGTCCACGGTGTAAGGTGATGACTAGGGTGATCCAGGCGTGAGCAGGTGGATGTGTGGGCGTGCAGGTGTGGGCGGCTAGACTGAGATTGCCGTCCACGAGAGTGTCATTCACGTGCACAGACACTTTACTATCCTTGTTTATTAACACGTACATAGATCTGTGAACACCAAGATTCAGAGTACAGGACTCAGTGTGGACACTACAGGATATAATATGAACAATAGACCATGGTCTGAGGGTGGGTACTCACTTCCAGTTTGAGGTTGAGGACTCAAGGTGGATTTGCACCTCCTTGGGGAGGCTGTCCGCCTCCTTCACTAGCACCGAGACCTCCAGGTGACCACTGAAAACCACCTGTGGGGTCATGTGAGTTGGATCACGGGGGGCTTGCAGATGGTACACGCGGCAGTCTGCAAGAGGAGGAGGAGGCAGGTGTAAGAGGAATGTATGTGATGGTTCAGTAGTGCTATTGACCACGTTACTGAAGAAACATCAGTGGGTAAATGGTTCACAGAACCGATAAGTTGATAAATTAGACACATGTACAACACTTGGGTATCTTTGTGGAAACGTTTCGCCACAATAAAAATATCCAAGTGTTGCACATGTCTTAATTTATTAAAAAGCATAGCAAAACGAATACGAAGAGGTGGTGGTGAGTGTTAAGTACTGTGAGGAGGGAAGGAGAGAGAGACGGGAGGGGAGGGGATGAGTGAGGAACGGAAATAGGGGTGAAATGAATGAGGGCTGGAAGAAGAGAGGAAAATGGAATTGTTGATCGATTCTACTGGAGGAAATGAACCCAGGTGGAGGATGTGTGACGGAAGTAGAGATGAGGGGAATTGAGTGAGGCGGGACAGGTGCTAGGTAGAGGTGGAATGGAACACTGGAAGAGAGAACCATCAGAGAGAGGGACAGCTGTGACGTGTGGGGAAAAAGACGAAAGTGTTGTGATGTGGTCGGATACTCACTGCGAGCCAGCTGTGTGTCTGCACCCACCAGCTGGAGAACCACCAGCAGCATACAGTTGGTCAGACGGTGCATGATTGGGCTTCCTTCAGTACTGCTGCTGCACGTGCGTAGTGTTCAGTGGGAGATAACTGCTGCAGGTACCTGCAGTCCTACTGTCGAAGGAGTTTATAGGCCTAGAGTACCACTGCTGTAGGAGTCTCTAGTCCAGGGGTACCTTTGCTGCAGGAGCCTTTAGTCCAGGGGTACCACTGCTGCAGGAGCCTCTAGTCCAGGGGTGCCACTGCTGCAGGAGCCTCTAGTCCATGGGTACCACTGCTGTAGGAGCCTCTAGTCCAGGGGTACCACTGCTGCAGGAATCTTTAGTATGAGTGCCGCTGCAGGAGCCTCTAGTCCAGTGATATCACTGCTGCAGGAGCCTGTGACACACTACACTTTGCGTCACTCCTGTTCGGCTCTATTTTTCCTGTGTCGCAACTAACCTTTGTTTAGAATTGACTCATCTTTTCCCAATGCCTCCTATTATGTTTTTACCGGCGTTGAGTTAGTATCCTCCTGTCTTTGTCACTGAATAGATGATTTTTCCTGCGAGCAGTCACTACACTAGATCTCTCACTATGTATGCCCCCACTCGCAAAGTTTCTTACACTGTGTGTGTTCACCCGTGGAGTTTCTTTCACAGTGTTCAATCTTAAGTTCTTTCACTTTGATTACATCTGGTCATTTTAAAGTTACATTAATACAAGATCAGCGCTTCGTCGAGACTATTTCTGTGCCGCCATCACCTTAGAGAAATGCTTTATATTCCCGGCACGTATGTCGTGGGTTCAATATCGAGTCCGTCCCATCGCATTAGAAACTTTTTTTTGGTTATAAAATGAAGTTTCGATCCTCTTCTTGAGGATTGGACTCCTGCTTCTCCTGACAAAAGCTAGTTTGATCACAAGTCACATGTTATCAGTGGTGAATACTATTCGCATTAGTTGATCGCTGCGTCCGGAGTCGCTTGCCCGAAATGTATTCTGGTTCACTGCAGTGTCCGATCCCGCATTGAAATGTCCACGGTTGGCTCTGTCAAGGACATGTGGTGGTGGTTGTTGGTGGATGACGCGAGCACACCGCAGCCTCACATCACAGCACTTCCCTTCCAAGGCGACACCCGTCACCACAACAGTGGAGTGTGGACTGTTCGTCGGAGTCCTGCGTCCTTCCGCTGTGAAGCTACGAACCTCCCTCACTCCACTCAGTCACACCACCAGGCATGTCTCTACCATGTAACTGCCTCTGCCAGTTATCACACTTGACAGCCTTAGGTGCTCTTGTCATGCCTCTGTCAACATACTTGACAGCCTGAGGTACCTCCCTCTGTCGACATGGTTGACATATTAGGTTTCCTTGTCAATGACTGGCAATACATTTGACAGATCGGGTTCCTTTGCAATGCCTGTGTGAGCGCACTTGACGGATTAGGACGTTCCTGTTAACTTCACTGACGATCCTGCCTGCAGGAACACAATGTAAGCTTACTGGATCAAGCAAAGAAAGCACTCACTGAAGACAAGCCTTTCACTAGAACAAACTTTCGCCCTGAATAGAGCTTTATCAGCCATTCTAAAGCTGGGTTTAGGGCGAAACGTCGTCCCAGTAAAAAATTCCCTTTGCGATAACCTTTTTTTCCCCTTCATATGACATCACTAAATGAAATATTGCGAAAGATTTGTGTAAATTACACTTTTGGTGGAATTTTGTGAAAGGGGTATCTTACGTGTACACTTCAGATCTGATTTTTGCTACACACAAACAAATCATTATACACGTATTGTGTGAATGATCAGTAATTATACATAGTGAAATAATGAGATTTGTGAAGCCTTATTTACATCGTTTGTGAAGCCTTATTTACATCGTTTGTGAAGCCTCATTTACAGTGTGAAGCCTCATTTAGTGTGAGGCCTCATTTACAGTGTTTGTGAAGCCTCATTTACAGTGAGGCCTCATTTACAGTGTGAAGCCTCATTTACAGTGTGAAGCCTCATTTACAGTGTGAAGCCTCATTTACAGTGTGAAGCCTCATTTACAGTGTGAGGCCTCATTTACAGTGTTTGTGAGGCCTCATTTAAAGTGTTTGTGAACCCTCGTTTAGTGTTTGTGAAGCCTCATTTACAGTGTTTGTGAAGCCTCATTTACAGTGTTTACGAAGCCTCATTTACAGTGTTTGTGAAGCCTCATTTACAGTGTTTACGAAGCCTCGTTTACAGTGTGAAGCCTCATTTACAGTGTTTACGAAGCCTCATTTACAATGTGAAGCCTCATTTACAGTGTTTACGAAGCCTCATTTACAGTGTTTACGAAGCCTCATTTACAGTGTTTGTGAAGCCTCATTTACAGTGTTTGTGAAGCCTCATTTACAGTGTTTGTGAAGTCTCATTTACAGTGTGAGGCCTCATTTACAGCGTGAAGCCTCATTTACAGTGTGAAGCCTCATTTACAGTGTGAAGTCTCATTTACAGTGTGAAGCCTCATTTACAGTGTGAGGCCTCATTTACAGTGTGAAGCCTCATTTACAGTGTTTGTGAGGCCTCATTTAAAGTGTTTGTGAACCCTCGTTTAGTGTTTGTGAAGCCTCATTTACAGTGTGAAGCCTCATTTACAGTGTTTACGAAGCCTCATTTACAGTGTTTGTGAAGCCTCATTTACAGTGTTTACGAAGCCTCATTTACAGTGTTTGTGAAGCCTCATTTACAGTGTTTACGAAGCCTCGTTTACAGTGTGAAGCCTCATTTACAGTGTTTACGAAGCCTCATTTACAGTTTGTGAAGCCTCATTTACAGTGTTTGTGAAGCCTCATTTACAGTGTTTGTGAAGCCTCATTTACAGTGTTTGTGAAGTCTCATTTACAGTGTTTGTGAAGCCTCATTTACAGTGTTTGTGAAGCCTCATTTACAGTGTTTACGAAGCCTCATTTACAGTGTGAAGCCTCATTTACAGTGTTTACGAAGCCTCGTTTACAGTGTTTGTGAAGCCTCATTTACAGTGTTTACGAAGCCTCGTTTACAGTGTGAAGCCTCATTTACAGTGTTTACGAAGCCTCGTTTACACTGTGAAGCCTCATTTACAGTGTTTACGAAGCCACGTTTACAGTGTGAAGCCTCATTTACAGTGTTTACGAAGCCTCATTTAGTGTTTACGAAGCCTCATTTACAGTGTTTACGAAGCCTCGTTTACAGTGTTTGTGAAGCCTCATTTACAGTGTTTACGAAGCCTCATTTAGTGTTTACGAAGCCTCATTTACAGTGTTTACGAAGCCTCGTTTACAGTGTTTGTGAAGCCTCATTTACAGTGTTTGTGAAGCCTCGTTTACAGTGTTTGTGAAGCCTCATTTACAGTGTTTGTGAAGCCTCATTTACAGTGTGAAGGCTTCCAGTCTCTTGATGTTTTTATAGTCACGTGACTGACATCAGCTGATTTACGCTTGCCATCGTATTGATAACGTATGAGAGAAGAAACATCTCATTTACGTTACCACGCGGCGGACGACGTTTCTCCCAACACGAGGAAAAATACTGAAATCTTACTTCCCCCCCCCCCCCCCCCAAAGAAAAGGTTTCAGGGTTCAGAGGCAGAATGTAATGAGGTTTCACATTAGAACCCCAACGTTCTAAATTGGAAACACTTGCGTTCTTTTTCGTTGGCACGTTTCTCGCCCACTTTTATTGTGGCAACGTTTCGCTCTCCAGGAGCTTTATCAAACCGTTGCACTTGTGTCCTTCTACCTAACATATTGTCGGTAATACTACCAACATTAATTGCATGTGTGTGTTTAGTCCAGAGTTTGTTGGTGTTATATCTGATGCTTGGTATATCTGATGCTTGGTATATCTGATGCTTGGTATATCTGATGCTTGGTATATCTGATGCTTGGTATATCTGATGCTTGGTATATCTGATGCTTGGTATATCTGATGCTTGGTATATCTGATGCTTGGTATATCTGATGCTTGGTATATCTGATGCTTGTTATATCTAATACTTGTTATACCTAAGGTTTGTTAATATCTAATGCTTGTTATACCTAATGCTTGTTATACCTAATGCTTGTTATATCTGATGCTTGTTATACCTAGAACTGAGTCACATAATGGGTCAGTCTAAAGTGGTAGTTTAAGCAAATTTGAGAAGAGACTTAAGTTGATCTAGGATCACATTAAGCCCAGTTCAACCTAAGTTGCATTAAATTGTACTGTGTCGAAGGTTGACCTTGATAGTTACTGTGGTGTGTAGTAAAGGCAGTTTCTCCTCTCTCTCTCTCTCTCTCTCTCTCTCTCTGTCAATCACGTCCTCGTGATTTTATCAACAACCGCCCACCCGCTTGCCCACCACCCACCCAACCAGGAGTACTGATGTCCCAAATTGGAACTCTAGGAAAGGGAGCATTTAACATTGAGTGCCAGTGCCAGGATTCCTGGAGGCACTGCGTGTGTGTCATCACTCAAGTGCCATCCTTAACTCTCATTCCCACGCTGTGACTCCTACGAGTTTAGCGCACAGAATGTTTACAGACTCGTGCACACAGCATTTACAGACGACGTTTTCAGCTCTTATTAATAGAGGTATATGTAGTCTGTGATAAAGACTTATATTAGACCACAGCCCATGTATACTAGACCACAGACCATGTATACTAGACCAGAGACCATGTATACTAGACCACAGCCCATGTATACTAGACCACAGCCCATGTATACTAGACCACAGCCCATGTATACTAGACCACAGACCATATATACTAGACCACAGCCCATGTATACTAGACCACAGCCCATGTATACTAGACCACAGCCCATGTATACTAGACCACAGACCATATATACTAGACCACAGCCCATGTATACTAGACCACAGCCCATGTATACTAGACCACAGCCCATGTATACTAGACCACAGACCATATATACTAGACCACAGCCCATGTATACTAGACCACAGACCATATATACTAGACCACAGACCATGTATACTAGACCACAGACCATGTACACTAGACCACAGACCATATATACTAGACCACAGACCATGTATACTAGACCACAGACCATGTATACTAGACCACAGACCATGTATACTAGACCACAGCCCATGTATACTAGACCACAGACCATATATACTAGACCACAGACCATGTATACTAGACCACAGACCATGTATACTAGACCACAGCCCATATATACTAGACCACAGACCATGTATACTAGACCACAGACCATATATACTAGACCACAGCCCATGTATACTAGACCACAGCCCATGTATACTAGACCACAGACCATATATACTAGACCACAGACCATGTATACTAGACCACAGCCCATGTATACTAGACCACAGCCCATGTATACTAGACCACAGCCCATGTATACTAGACCACAGCTCATGTATACTAGACCACAGACCATATATACTAGACCACAGACCATGTATACTAGACCACAGCCCATGTATACTAGACCACAGCCCATGTATACTAGACCACAGACAGTACTAGACCACAGACTATGTATACTAGACCACAGCCCATGTATACTAGACCACAGACCATGTATACTAGACCACAGACCATGTATACTAGACCACAGCCCATGTATACTAGACCACAGCCCATGTATACTAGACCACAGACCATGTATACTAGACCACAGACAGTACTAGACCACAGACTATGTATACTAGACCACAGACCATGTATACTAGACCACAGACCATGTATACTAGACCACAGACTAGGTATACTAGACCACAGACCATGTTTATTAGACCACAGACCATGTATATTAGATCACAGACCGTACGTTAGACCACATACCGTATATACTAGACTACAGACATATGCTAGACCACAGACCACACATTACTAGTATCCAGCGCCAGTGTGGAGCCCACACCTCTCTAAGAACAAGGATGGTTGTAGGTCTGAAGGTTTGAAGACGAAAAAAATAAAGGTTAACTGATACGAATAGGTTACCGGAGTCTCTTCTGGAGGCGACCGCCCCTACGACCCGGTCCCAGACCAGGCCTCCTGGTCGCTGGCTTCTTCTGTTAGGCTGTTTGTGTGGATGAAACACGAAATGGGACCACGGTGGGATCAAGAGCCGGAGCTCGACACCTGTAAACCCAGCTAGGTGGGTACACGACGCTGGGGTGCCAGCAGTAACAGTTTAACAAGCCACAATCAGGATTAATTGTCTGACATAAACATACACACTTCGCAGAAATGACAGCTGGTTGTGTGTCTCGCACGTGTGTGTGTGTGTGTGTGTGTGTGTGTGTGTGTGTGTGTGTGTGTGTGTGTGTGGGTTTATGTGTGTGGGTGTATGTGTGTGTGTGTGTGTGTGTGTGTGTGTGGGTGGGTTGGTGTGGGGGTGTATGTGTGGGGGTGGATGTGTGTGTGTGTGTGTGTGTGTGTGTGTGTGTGTGTGTGTGTGTACTCACCTAGTTGAGGTTGCAGGGGTCGAGTCCAAGCTCCTGGCCCCGCCTCTTCACTGGTCGCTACTAGGTCACTCTCCCTGAACCATGAGCTTATCGTACCTCTGCTTAAAGCTATGTGGGATCCTGCCTCCACTACATCGCTTCCCAAACAATTCCACTTACTGACTACTCTGTGGCTGAAGAATACTTCCTAACATTCCTGTGATTCATCTGTGTCTTCAACTTCCAACTGTGCCCTTGTTGCTGTGTCCAATCTCTGGAACATCCTGTCTTTGTTCACCTTGTCAATTCCTTCAGTATTTTGTATGTCGTTATCATGGTCCCCCCTATCTCTCCTGTCCTCCAGTGTCGTCAGGTTGATTTCCCTTAACCTCTCCTCATAGGACATACCTCTTAGCTCTGGGACTAGTCTTGTTGCAAACCTTTGCACTTTCTCTAGTTTCTTTACGTGCTTGGCTAGGTGTGGGTTCCAAACTGGTGACCCATACTCCAATATGGGCCTAACGTACACGGTGTACAGGGTCCTGAACGTGTGTGTGTGTGTGTGTGTGTGTGTGTGTGTGTGTGTGTGTGTGTGTGTGTGTGTGTGTGTGTGTGTGTGTGTGTGTGTGACTACAGGAGAATCATTAAGTTAGTTTAGGTAGAGGTACACGTAAGTACAATTATCATACATAGTTTAAATTACCCACCTGATAACACCAGAAAGTCAGTGATTTATTTTCATTAGCGTCCTTGTAGCTTCCCATCTGCTTTAAATGTTAATATTTAAGTTCTTGTAGCTCATCCAGTTGTCTTAGAATAGTGAGCGACAGCTCTTGGGCCAGGGCATGCCTAGTGTGGTGCCAGCAGGACCACTTTGTGTTTGTAAGCCACGTGTTGTGTCTTTGTTTTTGCTTAGCAAACTTGTGTACACCAAGAGTGTCAATGTTGAGCATGATAGTGTTGTAGTGTTGTAGTGTTGAGCATGATAGTGTTGTAGTGTTGAGCATGATATATAGTGTTGTAGTGTTGTAGTGTTGAGCATGATAGTCTTGTAGTGTTGAGCATGATAGTGTTGTAGTGTTGAGCATGATAGTGTTGTAGTGTTGAGCATGATAGTGTTGTAGTGTTGAGCATGATAGTGTTGTAGTGTTGAGCATGATAGTCTTGTAGTGTTGAGCATGATAGTGTTGTAGTGTTGAGCATGATAGTGTTGTAGTGTTTAGCATGATAGTGTTGTAGTGTTGAGCATGATAGTGTTTGTAGTGTTGAGCATGATAGTCTTGCAGTGTTGAGCATGATAGTGTTGCAGTGTTGACCATGATAGTCTTGCAGTGTTGACCATGATAGTCTTGCAGTGTTGAGCATGATAGTCTTGCAGTAAAGTAAAAGGACACAAGTGCAACTAATGTGACATTTATTGTGGCAACGTTTCGCTCTCCAGGAGCTTTATCAAACCATTACAAACAATACATGGACACAGAGGGTATATAAAGGCTCTGAGTGAGGTGCATTACTAGTGAGGTACCATTTCGATGTTCACTAGTGGTAGTAGTAGTAGTAGTAGTAGTAACAAAAATAATACAATACGGAAGAGCAAATAATTCGTACATGAGTGAAAGGATATAAAAGCTATTACTTGGGTAACATAAAAATAGGTTGGACAAATATAGACTGGAAAGAGGCAGTTTTTTTTCCGGTGTTCACTCTCTGTAATGTGCTTGTGTAGTATAACAGGAGAGACTATGTGATGGCAGGGTTTACTGTTTTCAGGAGGATTCTTGCTAAGACTTCGGAGATGGTGAAGCTGCTGTTGTTTTGTTTAATTGTATTTGAAACAGCGATCAGTGCTGATTCAAGGCACTTGCGTGTGCGGAAATTAGTTTCCGCACACGCAAGTGCCTTGAATCAGCACTGATCGCTGTTTCAAATACAATTAAACAAAACAACAGCAGCTTCACCATCTCCGAAGTCTTAGCAAGAATCCTCCTGAAAACAGTAAACCCTGCCATCACATAGTCTCTCCTGTTATACTACACAAGCACATTACAGAGAGTGAACACCGGAAAAAAAACTGCCTCTTTCCAGTCTATATTTGTCCAACCTATTTTTATGTTACCCAAGTAATAGCTTTTATATCCTTTCACTCATGTACGAATTATTTGCTCTTCCGTATTGTATTATTTTTGTTACTACTACTACTACTACTACTACCACTAGTGAACATCGAAATGGTACCTCACTAGTAATGCACCTCACTCAGAGCCTTTATATACCCTCTGTGTCCATGTATTGTTTGTAATGGCTTGATAAAGCTCCTGGAGAGCGAAACGTTGCCACAATAAATGTCACATTAGTTGCACTTGTGTCCTTTTACTTTACATATTGTCGGTAATTCTACCAACTTTATTATAGTCTTGCAGTGTTGAGCATGATAGTCTTGCAGTGTTGAGTATGATAGTCTTGCAGTGTTGACCATGATAGTCTTGCAGTGTTGAGCATGATAGTCTTGCAGTGTTGAGCATGATAGTCTTGCAGATAAGTGGTTGTTGGTTCAGAGCATGATAGTCTTGCAGTGTTGCATAGATTAGTCTCAGTGTTGAGCATGTAGTTCTTTGAGATAGTGGTTCAGAGAACGACAGTTGTAATTGCACACAGTGGCATACACTTAGGTATCTTTATGTAGAAACGTTGCACACAGATGCTTATACGTCCAGTAAAAAGAACGAATGTAAATCAGAGGGAGACTGAAGTAATCAGTCCCTCAGCCATATATCAGCCATGTAATCAGTCTATCAGAACTAATTACACCGACTCCAGGCTGAGGGACTGAATACCTCAAACTCCTTCTGATCTTTACCATTCTTCTTTTTACTGGACTGATGAAGCCACTGTGTGGAAAAACGTTTCCCACAATAAAGATACCTAAGTGTTGCACATGTGTCTAATTTATCAGCATGACAGTCACCTGGTGTGTACACGGTGCTTAAAATAACACACTTCCACTTGGGAATACAGATCTGCTGACCACTCAGGATGTTCTGATTGTAATACCTGAGTGACTGTCATTCCTCCGAGAGACAGTTTTCACTCACCAACTCACTATATTATTCACTTACGAGTAAATTATTCACACCTCATATTCAGCATATCCAGAGGTGAATATTTTTAGTTATTTATCTCCCCATTTGGGTTTCTCCCCAGGATGCGACCCACAACAATCTACCATTTCCTAGGTGGCTATTAAGTGCTAGGTGAACATGGGCAGTAGGTGTCAACAAACTTAATAATAAGTGTTTCGTCTCACCCGGGAATCAAATCCGGGTCCGTTCGATTGTGAATCGATTGCTCTAACGTACGGAGAGTTTCCGATTTCATTATTTTGATGTTTGAAGCTTCGGTCGTTGTGGCTTCGTTAGTGAGGAGGAAGTGAGAGGTTACCTGTGGAGGTATGACTGTAGACAGTCACCTGGGGAGGTATGACTGTAGACAGTCACCTGTGGAGGTATGACTGTAGACAGTCACCTGTGGAGGTATGACTGTAGACAGTCACCTGTGGAGGTATTTACTGTAGACAGTCACCTGTGGAGGTATGACTGTAGACAGTCACCTGGGGAGGTATGACTGTAGACAGTCACCTGGGGAGGTATGACTGTAGACAGTCACCTGTGGAGGTATGACTGTAGACAGTCACCTGTGGAGGTATGACTGTAGACAGTCACCTGTGGAGGTATGACTGTAGACAGTCACCTGTGGAGGTATGACTGTAGACAGTCACCTGTGGAGGTATGACTGTAGACAGTCACCTGGTGGAGGTATGACTGTAGACAGTCACCTGGGGAGGTATGACTGTAGACAGTCACCTGTGGAGGTATGACTGTAGACAGTCACCTGTGGAGGTATGACTGTAGACAGTCACCTGTGGAGGTATGACTGTAGACAGTCACCTGGGGAGGTATGACTGTAGACAGTCACCTGTGGAGGTATGACTGTAGACAGTCACCTGGGGAGGTATGATTGAAGACAGTCACCTGTGGAGGTATGACTGTAGACAGTCACCTGGGGAGGTATGATTGAAGACAGTCACCTGTGGAGGTATGACTGTAGACAGTCACCTGGGGAGGTATGATTGAAGACAGTCACCTGTGGAGGTATGACTGTAGACAGTCACCTGGGGAGGTATGACTGTAGACAGTCACCTGGGGAGGTATGACTGTAGACAGTCACCTGTGGAGGTATGACTGTAGACAGTCACCTGGGGAGGTATGACTGTAGACAGTCACCTGGGGAGGTATGACTGTAGACAGTCACCTGTGGAGGTATGACTGTAGACAGTCACCTGTGGAGGTATGACTGTAGACAGTCACCTGTGGAGGTATGACTGTAGACAGTCACCTGTGGAGGTATGACTGTAGACAGTCACCTGGGGAGGTATGACTGTAGACAGTCACCTGTGGAGGTATGACTGTAGACAGTCACCTGTGGAGGTATGACTGTAGACAGTCACCTGGGGGAAGAGTGGAGGTATGACTGTAGACAGTCACCTGTGGAGGTTATTAAGACTGTGAAGACAGTCACCTGTGGAGGTATGACTGTAGACAGTCACCTGTGGAGGTATGACTGTAGACAGTCACCTGGGGAGGTATGATTGAAGACAGTCACCTGTGGAGGTATGACTGTAGACAGTCACCTGGGGAGGTATGATTGAAGACAGTCACCTGTGGAGGTATGACTGTAGACAGTCACCTGGGGAGGTATGACTGAAGACAGTCACCTGTGGAGGTATGACTGTAGACAGTCACCTGGGGAGGTATGATGAAGACAGTCACCTGTGGAGGTATGACTGTAGACAGTCACCTGGGGAGGTATGATTGAAGACAGTCACCTGTGGAGGTATGACTGAAGACAGTCACCTGTGGAGGTATGACTGAAGACAGTCACCTGTGGAGGTATGACTGTAGACAGTCACCTGTGGAGGTATGACTGTAGACAGTCACCTGTGGAGGTATGACTGTAGACAGTCACCTGTGGAGGTATGACTGTAGACAGTCACCTGTGGAGGTATGACTGTAGACAGTCACCTGTGGAGGTATGACTGTAGACAGTCACCTGGGGAGGTATGACTGTAGACAGTCACCTGGGGAGGTATGACTGTAGACAGTCATCTGGGGAGGTATGACTGTAGACAGTCACCTGGGGAGGTATGACTGTAGACAGTCACCTGGGGAGGTATGACTGTAGACAGTCACCTGGGGAGGTATGACTGTAGACAGTCACCTGTGGAGGTATGACTGTAGACAGTCACCTGTGGAGGTATGACTGTAGACAGTCACCTGTGGAGGTATGACTGTAGACAGTCACCTGTGGGGTATGACTGTGACAGTCACCTGTGGAGGTATGACTGTAGACAGTCACCTGTGGAGGTATGACTGTAGACAGTCACCTGTGGAGGTATGACTGTAGACAGTCACCTGTGGAGGTATGACTGTAGACAGTCACCTGTGGAGGTATGACTGTAGACAGTCACCTGTGGAGGTATGACTGAACCAGTCACCTGTGGAGGTATGACTGTAGACAGTCACCTGTGGAGGTATGACTGTAGACAGTCACCTTTGGAGGTATGGCTGTAGACAGTCACCTGTGGAGGTATGACTGTAGACAGTCACCTGGGGAGGTATGACTGTAGACAGTCACCTGTGGAGGTATGACTGAACAAGACAGTCACCTGTGGAGGTATGACTGTAGACAGTCACCTGTGGAGGTATGACTGTAGACAGTCACCTGTGGAGGTATGACTGTAGACAGTCACCTTTGGAGGTATAACTGTAGACAGTCACCTTTGGAGGTATGGCTGTAGACAGTCACCTGTGGAGGTATGACTGAACAAGACGGTCACCTGTGGAGGTATGACTGAACAAGACGGTCACCTGTGGAGGTATGACTGAACAAGACGGTCACCTGTGGAGGTATGACTGAACAAGACGGTCACCTGTGGAGGTATGACTGAACAAGACGGTCACCTGTGGAGGTATGACTGAACAAGACGGTCACCTGTGGAGGTATGACTGAACAAGACGGTCACCTGTGGAGGTATGACTGAACAAGACATCATTGAGAGGTGATACTAGTGTAAATCAACACAACACTTACCAGGAGATGAACGACTCTCTAGAGCTTCTAGAGTTAGATTTTTAAGATTTTGAGTCCAGGTTGATAATGTACCTCACACTGCCACTCACTGAACACACCAGAATAATGACGGCACATCACAACCCAAACAGTTGACATCCCTGGCTGTCTTCAAAAAGGTGCTGGACAGGCACCTAAAGTCAGTACCTAACCAGCCAGGCTGTGGGGTTCGAACGTTGGTTTGCGTGCGGCCAACAGTAACAGCCTT